CCCTTATTCGAGATCGACGAGTGAGGCCTCCCTCCTTTCCTTGATCTGTCGCAATGATTCCTCTAGATTTCGCGTTCGTTTCTCCTGAGCGTTACCGAACGTCTCGATGACCTTTCGGATCTCGCTCAGATCTTTCTCTCACGATTCGTCCCGTTTTTCGAGCTCTCGTTCCACCGCGTCTCTCGTCTCCTCTATTCGTTTGTCGTGATCGACGAGTGCTCTTCTTCTCGAGGTGTCGCAGAACGTCCACTTCGGTTTTTACGTCATAATACTGTAGGAGAATATTCCGAATTCGCTTGTTCATATCTTCCAGCTGTTTTCGTAGCTCGTTCGTTAGAACTTTCGACTCCTCACTCTTTACGCGAAGCGCGTCGTCGACGTAACCCTTGGTCGTCGCGTCGGTATCATCGATCGGTGTATCCAAATAGCGTATCTTGCGTCTGTTGATGTCATAGTCGTCCAGATTAAGGCAGAATGCGCTGCGACGCACGTACGCCCGCAGGAATGCGATCATCGAACGATCGTCAACGCCGCGTTGTCTCTCCAGAGACTTCCCGAATTTGTTCACGGACATCATGCCCTCGCGGGTGACGAATCTACCGCGCGCGATAATCTGCTCGTAATCTCGGCGATCTACATATTTGAGAAACAATCTGGCTATGCGCGTCATAGATTCCTCCAATTCGCCGATCGATCTAACCGTGCTCTCATTCATCTCCGACAGCAACGTTCGAGTGCTCGTCGAGAATTCGCTCGTCTCGGAGATTTTCGTTTCCGCGCTGTCCACGTAGCTTTTACTCGCGGCGTCGGCAGTTCTAGGTGTGGCTAAACGCCGTATGATTTTGTCTCTAGCGTCGTAGTAATCGTCATTTAGACAGAGCGCGTTGTTACGCATAGCGACGCAAGGAATCGATCGACGGTCGCGAGCGTGCCCTGTCGCCTCCGCCGAACGACTCCAACGGTCTTCCGAACTTGTTCACCAACATAACGAGAATACCGGTCGCCGCGAGCGCGCGCCGCATTTTACTCGATCGCGTCGATCTCACGAAGCTTCTCGAGTATTGATAGAATCTCGTTGTCGTGAGCGTCGTTGCCAGCTCATCTAGAAGCATCGAGCAATCGAAGACGATCTAGTTCGTTGGGATCGTCCCAATGAACGTACTCGATTCCTTTGTCTCTCACCCGCATAGCGGATGGAACAGAGTCGATCCCATTTTTTCTCGTTTTACCAGTACCAGCGCCACTTTTGTCTCTATCGAGCAATAGCGGCGCGATGATATGCTTGTACTTGAAACCTTTGTTTCCTAGAATGGGCATAAGCGCGTTGTGATCACGCCGATGGACATTCGTAATTAACAGTATACTCTTGTACGTTTGCTTGTCGTTCTCTGTGTACATGGCGTCGTCGAGAAGTCTCTTGAAGATCAACTCGTATAAGCCCGGATATCGCGTGTCGCCCACGATCACGCTGTCATCGACGGTTACATCGAATCGCCTGTCGCCAAGCATCGAGCCGTCCAAATCGAAGTACACCCCGTAAACCTGATCGATCTCGCTCTGTCTGTCCCCGCTTAGAAGCGCGCCCATATATTTGCGACCTAACGGTCCCCATTGCGCGTTCGAGATCGATTCTTCCGATTCGTTTCTAGTCGCGGAACTCACCGTCGTGATCAAGGGCGATCTCGTCGAGAGGCATCTCTTCGTTTAGACCTAGACGGTGGCTCGTCGTCGTCATCGGTCTCGTGTTTCCTCTTAGCGCCGACGAACGCGATCGGGTCGATTCCCTCGGTCGACTCGTCTCGCGCGGTGTTCTTGGCGATTCGTTTCAACGGCTGAACGATCGGTTTGAGTCGCCTCTCCAGCGCGATCTCCTCTTCTTTCACCGGTCTTTAACTCTCTGTACTTTTTACGTATAGAGTTCTGAGTCTTCGCGATCTCTCGCGTCGTTTTTTCCTGCCGAGCGACGTTCGTACCAACCGCAGCGTCAACGTTCATACTCGCAGCAACGTCAACGTCCATCCTCGTAGCACAACTAATCGCTTTACACCACGGCGAAATCGTTAAATCCTCGTCTGTATCTACCATTCCTTAACGCGCTGTCTTTATCGATGACTAGGAAACCATATTTGCGTTTCCAACACGCGCGACACAAGGCGTAAAAATTCTCATACGACATATCCGTGTTCACGTGCTCGTTGTAAACATGCTTTAGATTAGTGCCATCCTGCTGACAAACGAAATCAAGAGATTCGCGTTTTCGCGTATCAGGTGTTTTGGAATTTTAGCGTATGTCTGACAAAGGTAGAAACAATCGATGTTCGAGTGTCGACCCATAGCGAAATATTCCCTGATCGCTGTTCTGCTTGTCACAGGCCACGTCGTCGAACACGAATATCGAATTGGGAAGCGCCTCGCTCGGTGGCATGACGTCGCTATTGTTTGAGAACGCGCGATAGCCAATCTCGTCCATCGACTCGAGCAGTTCCAACAAGTATCGATACTTTGGTTGTTGCAGGGATTTCGAATAGACCTAGACGTTCTCAAAGCGCGCGCCGTGCGGACTTTCGAGCATGCTTATCAACACGTTCGTTTTACCGCAATTGGAGGGGCCGCAAATGATGCAACGTATCGTATTCGGTAGTAGAGGGCCGTGTCTGCGCGCCCTCCCGACCGCGTCGCCCGAGATTCGTCGAGCCTTACGGTCGAGATTGAGCACTCCTATAGCCGGCGATCGTCGAACGAATCGCATTTACGCGCGCTTCGAGGAGACGCGACCGATAATCGCTTCACTTATACTCGACGATGATTCGATCGCGCACAGTGATCGGTATGTTTCCCCTATTGACGGACAAACGCGATATTCTCAATCTATCCACCCAACAGTTGCGACTTATCCCGAAGTTCGTTCTCGTGCGCGATTTCGACAGATATGTGGAGCTACTGTGCAGACTACCCGATCATCTGAGAGCGGAGTACTCCCGAGGTACAACGTTGTCGCGTGTGTCTGGAGCATTATAATCGTCCGTGGCAACAATCGCATATAGACGCCTCTTATCCTGCGCCTCTTATCAAAAATTGTAACGAATGCTTAGCGGCGCGGGACTACTCGATACGGCGATAAACGCGCTTCCCTTCGAACTACATATTTCCGGGTATCAATTTTGCGGGCCCGGCACTCATCTCGCGAAGCGATTGGCGCGATTGAGGCGTAAATCCGTTGGACGCGGCGTGCCGCGAGCACGACATCGCCTATTCGCGAAATAAGAAACTCGCCGATCGCCATGACGCCGACCGAGCTCTCGCCAAGAAAGCGCGCGAACGTATAACGGCCAGAGATTCCACCTTCGGCGAGAGAGCTGCCGCGACCGCCGTATAGGCTGCTATGAAAGCAAAGACAAAGCTAGGCATGGGTTTGAGAAAGAAGAAGAGGAAGACGACAACGAGGAGGAGGATACTTCCAACGGTGAAACGCGGAGGCTTGTACCCATTTTTCCGATATTAGGCGCGCTCGGTTCTTTAATCGGTGGCGCGGCGGGTGTTACCGCGAAGGCGGTGAACGCCAGTAAAACCGCACGGTGTCAACTGGAGAAGTTGCAACGTCACAATCGAGCGATGGAGGGTCACGAATTGCATCTAGCGCCTTACAAACGTGGCAGCGGTGTGACGAGAAGAACGAAAAAAAAAATCATGGAAAGAAACGTTAGATTCGCTCAAGTTACCGCTCTCCGGCATTACGACGAACGAACAGCTGAACCGCTCGGCGCGTCGTCTACGAGTACCTTTCTTCAGAGGAGTGTTATGCGTGACGCATTACCATCAAAGGCGTGACGTAACGAGAGCGGCATCGTGAATCTCGACTCGATGGGCTCGGGTACTTACTGTGTCGCCTATGCGAAGAGGGGAAACGACGCGATTTACTTCGGCAATTTCGGCAATCTTCGATCGCCGAGGGAACTCGAGAGATATCTCGGCGACATAAATATAACGTACAATCGCGGATCGTATCAGACGTATGATCAGAGCATTTGCGATCAGTGTGCCTGCGATTTCTCTCGAGAATCGGTCGCGATATTGCTGAGCCTTTCGTTCACCGGTAAGAGTAGCGTTCTCACGGCGTGCTATTTTCTCGCTTTAGATCTGAGCGACGACGATTACGAGTTAGGTCTCACGAATTTCGAGACGTACAACACTATACCGAACGTCGATTCCACGAATAATAAGTTCTATTACGACGACAAAACGATCGTGATTCCCGAGGGTTTGTACGAATTAAGCGCGATAAACAGATATCTGAACGCTGCTATCTCTAAAAAGCGAAAAATCGACGAAAGCAAGAGGACGAGCGACGATGACGAGAGCGACGAGGGCGAGAAGGGCGTGCGGTCTCTGATCATTCGAGCCAATGAGAACACTATAAGAAGCGAGATCAGATGCGAGCATCAAATCGATTTCGCGAAACCGAACAACATCGGTTCGCTCCTGGGATTCTCGTCGTCGCGCGTGCTACGGTCGAACAAATGGCACACGTCCGACGGAATATCATGGGCGTGAATATCATTCGGGTGGAGTGCAATATCACCGCGGGTGCGTACAGCAACAACGAACCAGTTCACACAATACACGAGTTTTCGCCGAACGTTCCTCCGGGATATAAACTGTCGAACGCTCCGACATCGATCATTTACTTTCCGATCATCGCGCGAAACATTACCGATATCACGCTTCGAGTTGTGGATCAAGACGGGCGACCGATCGATTTTCGCGGAGAGGAGATAACGGCGCGACTTCACGTGCGACGACGAAGGCATTAGAGAGAAATGCGCGAAAGATGCTCGTTCTGAACGAGTGGTACGCGAGAAAAGGAGGAGACGCAAACGCTACATCCGCGATCCTAATGCAAAACGACGCGACGAGGAAGGCACGCGAGGAAAGAGCGAACGAGTTGAACGCCGCGAACGTTGCGTTCTTAAGATCTTTAAGTTTCGTCGTGAAGAATCGACATGGCGAGCGACATTTTAAGTATTGGAGGTACCCCGATTTTTGACGATTGTATCATGAGAATAGAAACCCACACTTACAATCCGTATGCTAACACCACGTTCGGATACAGCGACGAGATACGAATACCTATACAACAACAGGATCTATATACGTTGCCGTGCGAAAATTTTCTATACATCGAGGGAAAATTCGCAACGAGAGAGAGCGCGAAGGAAGGCACGGCGAAGGAAATTACGAGAGCGAAGCTAATCAACAACTGCGTCGCGTTTATGTTTGACGAGATTCGATACGAGCTCAATGGCATGGAGATCGATAAGAGCAGAAATGTCGGCATAACGACCTTGATGAAAAACTACGCATCGTTGAGCTACAAGAGAGATAAAGCTTTACAGAACACCGGATGGGAAGTACCGCCTACAGCGTTGAACGATTTCAACTTTTGCGTGCCTCTCTCCTCGGTTTCTGCGAGAATTACAAACGCATAGTGATAAACGCGCGACACGAACTCATTCTGATACGCGCTCGCAACGATAACAATTGCGTCGTGGCGCATTCAGATCAGAGACCGAAGATCACCTTGTTAAGAATACAGTTGCGAATGCCACACGTGATACTTAATGACATTAACAAACTGTCGCTTCTGCGAACGTTGGACAGTGGATGATATCTGAGCATGGGCTTTCGTTCATGGGATTTGTACGAATTTCCGCTGTTGCAAAGTACGACCAAGCATTCCTGGGCGGTAAAAGCGGCGACGCAATTGGAGAAACCGCGATACGTGATCTTCGCGCTACAGACCGAAAGGAAAAACGTATCGTCGGAAGACGTTTCTAAATTCGACGATTGCAAGCTGATTAATGTAAAACTCTTTGAATTCCGAGTTTTATCCCTACGACGATATAAATCTAGATTTCGAGCGTAACAAGTTCGCAATGCTGTACGATATGTATCTGAAATTTCGAAAGACATATTACGGGTGCGAGACCTGCGAACCGTTCATGACTGTCACTAGATTTCTGCAATACGGTCCGCTAGTGGTCATCGATTGCTCCCGCCAGAACGAATCGATCAAGAGCGCCACCGTCGACGTTCGCGTAGAATTCGAATGCAAAGAGAACGTTCCGGCTAACACAACGGCTTATTGTTTCATCATTCACGATAGAGTTGTAGAGTATAACCCACTGACGAACGTCATACGTAAACTCATGTAATCGCGGTTTTCCTACGAGAACGATGCCGAACGTACCGATCTTCGTCGAGCTGCAAGGTTTTACCGTTCGGGAGAAATTTATGGTTAAAGAGGTGACGATATTAAAAAATGGAAAAGAGCTGACTCATCGAATATTTCGAGAAGCGATACCCTGGAATCTTCTTACAAAGACGGAAAAGTTAAAGCGTGCTGGATAACCTCCAATCATCACGGCCTGCAGTGGAGCGACGGCAACATCGCGTACAGACTCTCGAAACACGTGATTCGAAACGGCGTGTGCGTTCAATCGCGAGACGCGCCTAAACGAGTGTACGTCAAAGGCTTGGAGAAAAAGAAGTGGTTAGAGGAGATTCTCGGTTGCGACGTCATCGCGGACCACGACGTGATCATCGAGACTAATCCGACGCGGATTTCGAGGATATAGGGCGCCTAAGCACTCTGGACGACGTTCGCATTTCACTGCGAGCGTCACGCGAAGCATTACGCTATGGAGAACGTGTGCAAACTGTGTGTGATTGGTGATCGAAACGACGGGAATGTATCATCGAATTATAATATCGCGTTAACGACTTATATCATATGTCAGATTGGTTTTCAATTATTGTATCATATATTAGATTCAGTGCTTATATATTATAATTAGATTCATTGCTTATACTATAATCGAATTCTTTTATCGCTCGCTATACTTATATACATGCTTGAGGAAATACAAAAAAAACATTGTTTATAATATATCTCACTTTATTTCATCTCAATCTTACATCCCAAAGTACAGAGCAACGAGTTCGCAATCGATAATGTCGTTACGATCGTAGACATCGCTATCGCGTATGACTCTCGAGATATTTTCCGTATCCTTAGCAGTGAACGCGATATCCTTGAAACATGCCAATTTCGCATCGATTTTTCCTAATATCTTGGTCAACGAGATAACGAGTCGGCTGATGCAATGTTCGAGCTCGAACATGTTATTTACTATTTCCTTCGACATGGCCAAGCGAGCCGCGGATGTTTCCAGGCGTAATATCGTCAAGTTGTTGATTTTTCCGAAACGCACGGTCATATTTCCAATATGTGACGGGGCTGGAAAGGACGGTTCTCCGTTGGTACTTTGCAAATACTTCGAGAGAACATGTCGTTGCTCGACAAGCTGCCTCCACATATCGGGCGACATCGAGACCTCCTTGTCATGACTATCTCCCAGGATAATATTCACGCGCGAGGAACGTTCAAGAGTGACACATACATTAAGAAACTTGTATCTTGTCTTAGTCAAGGAATATTTTCGTTCTAGAATTCTAACTGGATTGTTCGTACAACCGGCGTTATGACTCGACGCGATCGGCCTGTCATCGTCGAGAGTCCTCTTCCTCCTTCTCGCGTCGTCGCTCTCGTCGACTCGGCGCGTCTCGGAATCCTGCGAGTGCTCGATATCGTACATCTTTACGATCGAAGAGATCGCACGATACTGTTCGTAAACGTTTCGTATCCTTAGCTCTATACACTATACGAAAACTTCCGTGCTTCTTCTTCCTCCCTCTCCTCTTCTAAATCGTCCTCACTCGAAAATATGTTCCTCATCTGAGCGAATCTTTTCAAAAGAGCGCGCAATTGCTCTAACAGTCCGTCCCTTGGACACACGGTACCAAAAATCTCTGAATCAAATTTACCGGCCATAGTTACACTTCTGGTAAATTCAGTTACACTTCTGGTAAATGGTTGTACTTGAAGAACTGTCGTTTAACGAGAAAGTACAGATTACCGTCGATGTATCGAACGGCAGACGTTACAGCAGGTGGAATCCCCGGAAATATCGCGTGCAACGAATTATGTCTGACGGCTATCATCGAGCAATCGTCGATTTTGGCCACGATCTCGTCGTTGTAAATCGCGAACGTTCGCCCCGCGTTAATATTAACCACAGCGTTGATTTTCGCATTGGGAGGAAGATTCATATCTCTCAATTTCCTCGATCAACCCGGTACTAGCTCGGATATTCCATGATGTAAACCGTATCGTCAACAAACAATACGAGTTGGCCCCAAGGTCGTCGACGCGCCCGCCAAACGCGTAAAATTATCGGGAAGAAAACGCAGATAGTCCGTCAGTAACAATGACCTGCCGTAAGATTTTCCGTTTAGGTCGATCGACCATAAGTGGTGTCGATACGCCACGTACATTCTATTTTCTAACACTAACACCGCATCGACGCGTCGCAACGCGCACAGATCCGCAGAATCCCTTGTGTCGTGCGTCGCAATCGTGGTCGTCGCTACGGTCATCGTAACTGGTCTCGCAATTTCGTTCTTATTTCTTAAACCGTATAAATTCTGAATGGCGAGAAAATCCGTCTCGCTCAATCGCACGGGAAAGGTCTTAGAGGGAACAAAAGCGTACATTATCGCATTTTTCAGAGGACTGTAATGTAATCCTAACGCGTGACCGATCTCGTGCGTTAACATATGCAGCAGATGAATCGTATCGTCAGGATTAGCGGTCAGCTCGATGTGCCACTTCTCCGCGTTATCCACGTGCACCTCCGACACTTCGGACGATGGTAAAAAAGCGTGAGCTAGCACGTTTCCTGGTCCGTCCAGCAACGACGGACATATTCAGCTATCTCGATGCCGAAGATCTACGAACATGTGAAAACCCTTCCAAAACGATATTACGATATCGGGATTCATCGAATCGCGCTCGAACGTCAGCGACGAATTCGCAATCCACATCGAACGCGACCTCGGTGACTCGTAGAACGCTCTCGCTCGCCAGGTGAAAGTTCCAAGTGAGATGCGTCTTCGCCCATTTCCGCCCGGAGATTTGTCCAAGTCATCGATATATCTTTGACGCCGCATCGCGGTTTACGCATCTGTTCCAATATAGCTTCGTTAAGAACACCATCACCAGGTATACGGTAATACTCCTGGAAAAGCGCAATCGCATGTCTTAGAGCCAACGTTATCTGATATCGTTTGCACGTTATCGCCGTCCAGGTATCCGTAGGTTTGCAAAAACCGAATCGCCTCCTCGTCGGCGGCGGAGTCACGATAACGGCTATCGCGCACGCGATCACGGTGAGCTCGCGCGCGGGCTCACCGTGATTCATCGCGCGAGACGGGAGTCGAATCGACATTGCATGTCGCCGACCGACATACGCACGAACCGCTCGATCGATGTTGCCATCGGTCGCGAGAGGGCGGAGATCAACGCGATGAATCGATCCGAGTCGCGAATCGGAAATTTCAACTGCTTTAATTTCTATTCTCTATCGCGCGAGATTATTCTCGTCGAACGAGCCCAAATATACGTAGCGCGATTACACGCCAACGAATGACGATCTCGCTAAAAATCCCATACACAATATCATTAAAAGTACACAATAGAGAACAAAAAAGTAAAAGCATGACAACGATAAAATAGCGATAGAATAGAGAACAAAATAAATAACGACGAAATAAACGATAAACTAATCTTCTATCGCCGTTGCGGTCAGACTTCCTGTAGTCACGCGTAACGAGCGCGAAAATGACGCATCGCACAACATTCACATTCCTAATGAAATATTCTCTCGTTATTAATACTCCTACGACAATTTCCTTCTCGCGTGACTTCCACTCTCGTCTCTCTCATACGTTCCCGGAACGAGGAAAAAACTTTATCTCTCACAGTCGGTTAATCGTCGCAACAACGATGCGTATTAATGACGATTCGCATTACTCTTTCTTTATTTCAGCATATCTCGTACATATATTCGTTATTTTTATTACTCGGCATTATATTTGTACACACACTTTTATACATATATTCGTGTACATATTCTTATACATATATACATATATTCATATTAGTAATTAGTATACATATTAGTATATGCTCTTTTACATAGACATATTAGTACATTCTCTTTTACATATACTCGCGCAAATTCGTGCAAATTCGCGCTCTTCACCACAATCGATACCCCTGACGATAATTCGCGCGAGCGTCATAGCGATACATCCCTACTCGCTGTCGCACTCGACGCTTCTCACTTCCTCGCGCACTCCGGGCACTCTCCCCAGATCATCGGCGACTCGATCTATCAACTGTCGCAACTATCAACTGCTTCTTCCGATCCGACACGGAGTTCAAAAATTGAACTCTCAATTTCGCATATTTCCACCAGTTGCGTCTCTTCTTTTTAACTATATCCTTGACGTTGTACACGTACATTCGAACCAATTCGCAATCGGTCCCTTTCTCGTCCGGAGATCTCGCCTCGAGTTGTCGTCC